CTCTTTCTTTAGTTTTAAACACGATGGCATTTTTGCAATATCGTATGGATGCATTTGTGTTCATTAATGGCTGGAATCATTTAGGAAATTCACCTTGTTTACTTTCTATCTGAGACATTATAAATTGCGTGGAGGTTGGAGTACACGATTTTTATATTATCACACATATATGTATATATGCACTATATTCTTTTTTGTATTGTAAGCTCTCATTAGCCCATTTTCCTCTTTGTGTTAAATATATAAAAAATGTTACATCTTATGTAATATTATTTTATATAATCTTACTTTTAATATATATATACGCGTACATTTTAATACACGTAAATATACATATGATTTTATTTTCAGTCTCGATTTACCTTGACTTTAATGATAGATTTTTCAATTAATTTGTATTCCAATTTTTCTGTAACGATAATGGCAATGATAAAACAAAATTTATTTTTATACTGTTTTAACGATAATTAGTATATTCATGAAATTTTCATGATTGATTTCAGGAAAATCACGAAACTTTCACAAGAGCATCAAAATCTGCAAAAATCTTGCGAAGCGATTATCGGCCTTAATCAACGCTTACAAATTCTGGATATGTGCACACACGCGATACATAAAAAGAATGAAGCAAAAATTAAAGATTTGGAATATATGCTAGCTTCAATGTCGGTCAGAAATGTAGAATTCACAGAGAAGCTTGTAAAATATAATGTTTGTCCAGAAAAATAAATATTTACTTCCACAATCTATATGAAAAATAACAGGATAGGATTTTTTACTAATAAATACACTGAAACATGTGTGTATACATGATTAATAAAAAATGTATTATAATAATCGTTCGTATATTTAAATATAAGTTGAACAAATTCTGATGGTAAAAATGCAAACTTAAGTCTTGCAAGTAAAAATATAAACTTGCATATCGTGACAACCAGCAATTAAAAGAGATTTTCTGCTACAGATTCTTAAACGCGCGCGAATCTACCTCTATAAAATAATAATTCTACCGGAAAACAAACCTCGCGTCTTTTTTTTTTAAGAGCCTTTACACACAGGACACGTCAATGTGTTACGCGTGCTAAAAGCAACGTGCTAACCAATTAACCTTTCGTTCTTACGGACAAGTTGTAAATCGATTAGCTATCGTGTCATTTTATCACGCATAATGCATTGACGTTCTATGTGCAAGAGCCTTTAGACTTAATAAAATTCTATGACTATCTGTAATATAACAAAATTGTCTATAAAGTTCTTGTTCAATTCATCACAAGGCATTTTAATTACATCATAGTTAATGCTCTAGTACACTTTACGTTTTCCCGTTAATTTTGTGAAAAAGCTATATCTGCTTAATAACAGTATAAAAACGATTGTGATATCTATACTGCTTAATCTTATTTATTTTTTTAATTTTTAGTCGTTCTATGTGATGTTGCATGTGATGTGTGATGTATGTTTCTATATATATTCTTACAGACACATGGTCCTCCAAACAACACACATGATATAAATCATCTTGAAAGAATATAGAATTTTGCATGTATGAAAAAATGTATACTTTATCCCATTGCCATAAAATTAATATGTACTTTTATACTCAAGTTTTTCTGATAAAAAAAATGTGATCATACTCATTAAATATGTGTAAAAACGCCAGAGGAGAAATTCATTGTGTGTTTAATATGTCACATATAGCAATTTTTAACTGATTTAATAATTATATCATAAATTTTCGGAATGGCATGATAAGATATAAGACCATTAAATCTCGATCGATATATTTATCACAAAAACTTATATAAAAATTCGTTTAATTATAGTGATTAACGAATTGAAGAACGCATAGCAATTTGTCATAATTTCATTAAAATGTGTATGAATATACTTTTTTCTTATATATATATAATAAAATAGAAAATTTTAACACATATTTTCTCCTCTGAGGGTCTTTTCGGCAAAAAATGCATTCATGTAAATAATTTCCGAGTTTTTAATACAATTGTGAATGTTTCATTGTCAAGGAGTAAGCCCGCTAAACCCAATACTGGGGACGTAAAAAGTTCCACAAAACATCAGTTTTGTTCGACGAAATGAACATAAGTATTTAATGATAGTAAATAAGTGTGTCTTCTCGCTGAACAATTGAAAATATTTGGAGGGTCAGAGTATAGTACAACGAGCGAGCCAACTGGGTGGCTTCCTCTGTGGTTCTGAAGCTTTCAACTGATGACCGCCGCCTTTTGGTGGATTTGATGCTTCCTGCAGAAAATAAAAAAACATGACATTGGCAGAACGCATAACATATTATAACATTCTGTTGTTGTTGTTGTTTTATACATTATTAATATTGTACATTTAATTATTTGTTGTAATCTTACTATATTTTTTAATACAATTTGCACATAAAGTAAATAAAGAGTTGCTTGTTACTGCAAAAATTAGAGTTTGATAATTAAGATGTAGTAAATGTTATTAAATGCAAGCACATAGCATAGGTATTACTATAAAAATCAATAGTATTATTAGAAATATTAATCATAAAGTATGTTAATATGAGTATTGCAATATAATACTAAATATAAAACAAGGTCAAAATATAACATAATGTGAAAAAGACGCATTTTTTATTCTTCTTGCACATGTAGACACACACACACACACACACACACACACACACACACACGCACGCACGCACGCACACGCACACGCACACACGCACGCACGCACGCACGCACGCACGCACCCACGCACGCACGCACACACACACAAAAGCATGAACTGAAATTAATATCCGATATGCAAAGTTTGTTTGCTTAATGTATGAAGTTTTTTCTTAATTAATATGCATATTTAATTAACAAAAAAGTCACGCAATATCTTTCTAGCAGACATGTGTATCAAACAGAAATGCATACAATACTGTTAAAATAATTTAATAGATAAGAATCACAATGGATTAATAATACAACGTGCATTGATTAAAATTTCCATAAAGCATTGACCACAATGCTTTATGGATTGTTATATTGTTTTACATATAGAATTTTAGGGACTAACTAAAACAGTGTACAAAAAGTTACCTTCTGCCAAGATAGACCAGCACCAAACACAGAGAAACAGAGACAGGAAACAGAGAAACAGTGGTTATTTTATAATAAATATGAGAAAAATGTTCTTGTTCATAAAAACTAATGTTCAATTTAGTATTGCTTAAGCATTTTTTTTTAGATTTATATATTATTCTATTTATTGACATTTATATAGTAAGTTTTTAAATATGAAAGTTTTTATATACATTGTGAAATATGAATATGAATGATTAATGAATATAAATCCATATTTAGATATGATAAGTATAATATTCTTAACTTTATTGAAATATATGTGGTACAAATCACATGCATTCTTACCAATTTTTTTTCCATTTTTGCTTTGATGTCACGTGCCAAAGTATAAAAAGCCTCTTCAACGTTAATACTAGATTTTGCCGAGGTTTCCATAAATTTAATGCCATATTCGACAGCTAGTTGCTCGCCCCTTTCCTTAGTCACTTGCCTCTTGTCTGTAAGCTCACACTTATTACCTAATAACATTTTTTCCACATCCGCAGACGCGTTTTCCTCTATATTCCGAATCCAATTTTTAATGTTCTCAAAACTTTTGTCATTTGTAACATCATACACCAACATAATTCCCATCGCTCCGCGATAATAAGCTGTGGTTATGGTACGAAACCTTTCTTGTCCAGCAGTGTCCCTACAAATATATACATATAGTCGAGTTTAATCTTATGCTACAAATGTAAATCACATTTAATACAAATTAATTAACAGGAATGAGAAGAAAGAACATTACAAAAACATATTTACCATATTTGTAGTTTAATTTTCTTGCCGTCCAATTCGATGGTACGAATTTTAAAGTCAATGCCTGTAACGTACAACAAAATCATAAATCAAGGAAGCACTCTTATAAGGATATGGAGAGATAAATGCAAACGAGTAACGCCGGTATCTGGTACACGATGAATCACGTTACTGTGAGGAGCTCGGTATAATGTGCTCTTTGTCTAATATACTCGTATGACATTCGCCCCGCGCGTACAGGATACATGTGTCTCGAGACACACCCTGGAGCGCGCGTTTCCGAGCGCGACGACGAAGACGATTAATGATAGAGCAATGAGGGGTGGAGGG